ATGTGGTGATGCAGCAAATACAATACAATACATCCTGATTTATATAGCGCTTTCACGACAGCTGCAGCTGTCACAAAGCGCTGAACAAAACAGTTAAAGTAAAATAATAAAGGCAACACATAACATAAAACACGGACAATCACTTTTCCTCTCATACGCTTTGTTGTTTAAAGCAGTTTGAGATGAAAGAGGAGAGAATCGAAATGATCATGGTTTTGTTTGTGGGGGGTTTTGCACGCCCCCCCCCCAAAAAAAAACGTGTGACAGGTGAAGAAGGTGAAAAAGTGGACGTGTAAACTCTGCGGGGAGAAACAATCTTTGCTCAAGGTAAGCAGATGAACGCCAGGGGACGGGTGACGTCATCAGGTTCCCCCTCTAGTTGAATCGCTTGATTTTTTTTGGGGGGGCGGGGGGGAAATCCACGACGAAGGAGTTCGGTGGAGGCAGCGCCGCGGACTGCAGACGTCACGTTCAGAAGCTGAACGCCGCCAGGGGCGCCGTGTTGGAAGAGCGAGACGCCCGCTCGCTTCGGTCAGCGCCAACTTTCTCATTCTCGCCGCACACGCACGACTTTCGTGATTTTCAGATCATCTAATGTATGCGCCATCCTCCCGTCTTCCTGTCAATGTGGTGTTAGCATTCCTCGCCATTTATCATTTGTGAAAGTTCTGTTCTGCGTGTGAATGGTTGAATGTGCGACCCACAAAAACGCATTCAACAACCCTCAAGCAGAAGTAAAAATAGACAAATGGTACGCTATAAGTGCGCTCCCCAAATTAAAAAACGCATACAATGCAAGACATCTTGAGTGACAGGTCGAAAGTGTTTTCACAACAGCTGGTAACAAAGAGCGGGAGAAAAATACACGTGATATTTGCGTGAATAATTTTGAGACAAATCGCACCCCATCACAAACCGGGACGCACGCCGCCCGTGCTCGACTTTGACGTCATCGGCATGTGATTGGCAGGCAACAGCCGGAAGAGGAAACGGGAAGTGAAGACCAGCGAGACGGGCACGTGAGAGGACGACCTGCGCAGGCCGGCACGCACGCACATCAGCAGCCTCTTCAACCCGTGAGCGCGTGCCCGCAGGCGGTCCACGCGCAGGTGAGCCGCTGGCGCCGATACATGGCCGCGCCTGAGGAGAAGGACCGAGATGTCGTTCCAAAGGACATGCCGCGTTCCCGAGGCAACAGCATGACGGACAGGTGATGGGCTTTTTGGGCCACGTCCGCTCCCAAACCAAATGGGCTTGTCAGACGGCTTCCTAACGCGTTTGTGTGCGCACCTCTCAGGAAGAGGAAGCGTGAGTGGTTTTTTTTTTCCCAACACATCATCAAACACTTGCCGATGGTGCGTAATCCCTCGTTTGACGTTGGCATTTGATGCGCACGTAGGAGCAGTTCATCGAGCTGTGTAAGACGCTATACAACATGTTCAGCGAGGAGCGCGACGAGCAGCAGCTGTACCACGCCATCGCCACCGTCGCCAGTCTGCTGCTGCGCATCGGCGAAGTCGGCAAGAAATTCAACAACGGCGACAAGACGGGTGCCGGACGGCGGGCCGCCTCACCCCCCACGGCGGAGCTTTCGCCCGACGACCGCCCGGAGGAGGCCGCCGGCGAGGAGGAGACCGGAGACGACGCGTCGGCGTCGTCGCACTCCACGATGAGCGACGATGGCGACGAGCGGCCGACGAGGCGGCGGCTGGGCGGCTGCGCCGACGCCGATTGGTCCGTCACCTTCGAGCAGGTCCTGGCGTCCGTGTTGACGGAGCCGGCGCTGGTGGACTACTTTGAGAGGAAAAGGGACATCCGGGCCCGGATGGCAGCGCACCGGACGCGACCGTCGGTGGAGCGTCAGAGCAGCTCCGCCTCCTCGGACCGCGAGCGAGGTGACCCTTGACCCCTGACCTCTGACCTCACACATTCCCGAGCTTTCACGTCACTGGCAGCTGCGTGGCCGTAACCGCGTTTCCTCTTTCGCAAGAAGGAAATCCTCAAACGGGGGGAAGGAGGGGGGCGGCTGTACGTTTTGGGGCCTTTTGAACATTTAATCCTAAAAATAAATCAACATATTTACGATGAAAGCATACTGCTGCTATACAAGAAAGGAGGGAGAAAAATTGTCGCGTGATTATAAATCTAGCATCGTAACGCGAATCATTTCACATTTTCATGTGCTGAGTTCAGGATCCCTTTCCGCGATAAATGTCACATCGGTATCACATTATAGCCTGCTGAATTTCACATTTTTACACAATCAAGTTTGAATGTGATGGACAGCACATTTTAATTTGGTGAATGTCATGTTTTAAGCTGCAACGTTTAACTACAGCGGTGGGAAAAAGCAAACAAAGCCATTTCTTGTGGTTCAGCTCAGTAGCAAAGTTCTTCTGGTGTCTTCAAAATCAACGTTACTTGCTACTGCATGTAACCGGAAAGTCAGTATTATAATAATAAGGCCAGTTGTTTCAAAAGATTTTTTTTTTTTTCTTAAAGAAAATGTGAGTATATTTCCTCTTTAATGAACTTCTGTTTTCTGGTGTGGCAGCAGTATGGTTCTGTAGTTTTTTGTTTGTTTTTTTTTTGTAAAAAGAAAAAACTTAGCCTATTTTTGTTTTCTCCCGACTGTATGATCAAGATTTTTCTTGTTTACAATTTGTGCTTTGGAGAAAAGAAGCAAACTTCTAAAATGTTGAAATTGGATTTGGCACTATCTCCCAAAATGCATTTTGGTTTGCAGAGAAGAAGAAAGTCTTTTAACGTGAAAGAGATGTGATCTTGTTTCCTGTTGGATGGAAATCCTCAATTGATGTTTTAATCACGAAGCGACTGAAATTTGACAAATAAATGTGGAGCACTGTATTGCGCACGTGAATATGCATATGAACATTGACGAAGCACCAGCTTTTATTCTTTTGTAAACCTTTGACCTTTTATTCATCCATCCTGTCATGATGTCTAATGAATAATCAATAAATCCGTATTCAACACCTTTTTTTTCTTTCTCATCGGTAATCGATGCTATTCATTCATCTGACGACATTGATCGTGTCCATGATTCCTCGCGATAATTAGGAAACCGATAAATCTGTAATCCATGATGGAGATGAAATGAAGTGCGAGGAGCCTTGAGCGAGCGCGGAAAGCCTCCGCGCCGACAGGTGGCGCGCTCTCGTCGACGCCCGGGTGTGTGACGGCCTCTTCGAATAAGGCGCGGCAAACTGGAACGGAAAAGAAACCGTTGTTTGTTTGGGCGTGTTGTCGTTGCTCGTTTTCAGTGTCTGAGTTTTGACATGTCCCAAACCTTTCACGTCGTCCGATGTTTCCTCTGCGACTGCTTCCAGGTGCAGCAAGTAAGAAGAACACAAACGCGTCGTACACACGGGAAGCTAACGGCCACATACTGCGTCACAACCGCCTTTGAAAATACAACACAATACAATCCATCCTGATTGATATGGCGCTTTCACAACAGCAGCGGCTGTCACAAAGCGCTGAACAAAACAGTTAAAGTAAAATAATAAAGGCAACACATAACATAAAACACGGACAATCACTTTTCCTCTCATACGCTTTGTTGTTTAAAGCAGTTTGAGATGAAAGAGGAGAGAATCGAAATGATCATGGTTTTGTTTGTGGGGGGTTTTGCACGCCCCCCCCCCAAAAAAAAAAACGTGTGACAGGTGAAGAAGGTGAAAAAGTGGACGTGTAAACTCTGCGGGGAGAAACAATCTTTGCTCAAGGTAAGCAGATGAACGCCAGGGGACGGGTGACGTCATCAGGTTCCCCCTCTAGTTGAATCGCTTGATTTTTTTTGGGGGGGCGGGGGGGAAATCCACGACGGA